AATCATGTACTTGTGGCAGTCGTTTTGGTAAGTTTGTTGAGATTCAGTTTGATAAAAGGGGAAGAATCTCAGGTGCTGCTATCAGAACATATCTTTTGGAAAGATCTCGTGTGTGCCAGGTGTCTGACCCTGAAAGAAACTATCATTGTTTCTATATGCTTTGTGCGGCACCACCAGAGGTAATTTCTTTATCTTGAAAATTTATGAAGATCTGCATTTGGATTAGGGACTCCCCCCCATTTGCTTCCGAGTTATTGGTTTATATTCTTGTTGATTGAGATTCTTCAATTCAGTTTCTGCTGATCTTTTTACTCTGTTGTTTCTTCCATTTTTGATTGGCTTATCTAAGAGTGCAATTTTTTTGTTTCATAAATGGGTTGAACTGATGAGGTGCCTTGCTGCCATCAAAGTGTTGGGAACTTTTGATTTTAACCTAGTAACGGGTAACCCGGAATGTTCAAGTGGTATATTGAAATACTCTGTATGCTGTTAATTTTAATGTTCTTTGTAATTACAACAACAATAACAAAACCAATGTAGTCCTGCACGTGGGTTTGGGGAGGTTAAGATGTGCATACCTTACCTCTACCCATGAAGGAAAATACACTGTTTCCTATAGACCCTAAGCTCAAAAAGGACAACGTAATACCAAAATAAGGAAAATAATATAAGGTAGAAACATAAAGAGATTCACTACAAGTGAGGCATCATATATTTTGTACCATTATTTACAAATAAGTGTTTTTAGCATTGAATTTGTTGTTTCGAAGGACGCACTTTTTATCGATTTTACAACTAGTAAAATATTACCTTCGTTCCAAAGTGAAGTTCCCATTGCGGTCTACGATGTTTAACTAAAGTTATTTTCAATGAAATTTATTTGAAAATTGGCGTGGAATTCAAAAATAAAATTTATAGCTTTCAAACAAATAAAATTTATTTATTTGAAAACTACATCAAAGATTCTATTAAACAAGAAGGGGAACATGATATATAATTTTATCTATTGAGTAAAAGAGGCAATGGAAGTGGAAAAAGTTGACCATGTGAATAGTGAAGGGGAACTTCATTTTGGGACGGAGGGAGTAATAAATTTGAGTCCTTGTTCAATGTTCACTTGCCTAACTGCCCCGTAAAATCTTTTTCTACAGCCAGGTGTGTCATATGATTTAAATTCTGACCAATAATTGTCCTCCAAGATGTTAGATTGTTTATGTCAACTCTTCAACTTGTTTTTCCTAAAAGTGATTATATTCATGATCCCCAGTTATTAATCATCAACTTTAGCGTATCACACTTATTACCATAAGTTCTACTCCTGTTTCATTCATTCATACTTTATTCCTTTTCAAATAATTGTTATTAGGATGTTGAAAAATACAAATTGGGGAATCCTAGGAAATTTCATTATCTAAACCAGTCAAAATTTTTTGAATTGGATGATGTGGATGAATCTAAAGAATATGTCGCCACCAGGCGAGCCATGGATGTTGTAGGGATCAGTTCTGACGTGCAGGTATTAGAATCAAAACACTATTATTTATGTAAGGATGGCCTGGTGAAGATGCTATTAATAAATCCATTGGCAGGATGCCATTTTTAGAGTTGTGGCTGCAATACTTCACTTGGGCAACATTGAATTTGTGAAGGGAAGTGAGCCTGATTCTGCAGAACCTAAGGATGATCAGTCTCGCTTCCATCTTAAAACTGTGGCTGAACTTTTCATGTGAGTTTCTCTGTACATGTTTCTCAACATATTCTGTTTACAAGCACACAAAGGTCATCATTTGTTATGTTTTGCTTAGGTGTGATGAGAAGTCATTAGAGGATTCTTTATGTAAGCGTATCATTGTAACTCGTGATGAGAAGATAACAAAATGTCTGGATCCCCGAGCTGCTTCTATCAGTAGAGATGCTTTGGCAAAAACTGTCTACTCTAAACTGTTTGATTGGTTAGTTGCCAAAATTGCTAGGTTTTGCAGTCCTTGTCAGTATCAGATGTAGCACATTTTTACATATTTTCTTATTCAGGCTTGTTGAAAAGATTAATAAATCTATTGGCCAAGATCCCGATTCTCAGTTGTTGATCGGGGTTCTTGATATTTATGGATTTGAGAGTTTCAAGACAAACAGGTGCTTAGTTGGTATGCTTTTAATTTATTTTCATCATACATAGAGGTTCATTTCTTGCAGAGCGTGTATTAAAGTTCTGTTAAAATACATTGCCATGAAACTAGTACTCCAGTTGTTTAGTTTCTTCTTTTCTGATAGGTTTATGTTATGATCTTGGATCGTTTCTCTTAGTTTCATGAGCTACTAGATAGTTTCACAGAGAACGAAACTAACAATGAGGGAATTTTTAAAGAAAATAAAATTCAATAAAGTTTAATTAATCAAGCCATAACCCAAAGTTCAATGCTAGCACGGTTTGTGCTATTAATTCTCCTTTCTTTTTCATTATAAAGGTTTGGTAAACAAGCCTTGCCAGTCAATATTTTTTGCAAGTGCAGTTTTAAATACTCCTGAGGGGTTTTATTTTCTGCAAATGAAAGTAATCTCTTTCATGCAGTTTCGAACAGTTTTGCATTAATTTGACCAATGAAAAGTTACAGCAACATTTCAACCAGGTATGTACCTGACATATATTTGACTATCATAGCAGTACTTTCATACATAGAATCCTTTTATCGTAAAAAAATTTGATGAAATCTTAAATAGTAATCTGATATTGGGTTTGTTATTTTCTTTTGCAGCATGTCTTCAAAATGGAGCAAGAAGAGTACACCAGAGAAGAAATTGATTGGAGTTATATAGAGTTTGTTGATAACCAAGATATTCTTGATCTTATAGAAAAGGCAAGTGTACTCATTTAATCATGAACTCAAGCTAGATTTTAATTCTACTAAAATGTGTGTAGGCCTGTAAGTTTGCTGCTGACATTTTGCCTCTTTATATATAACCATGCACGTGGGATTCAACCAAGTTGTTGTTGTTGTTGCTGTTGTATATATAACCATGCAACAAAGTTAGTCTACTCGCTAAGGTTCACGCAGAAACGTTGCAACTGATGTTTCTGTTAGCCATTGAATTATGCCACCCCTTGCCTTGCATCCATGAGTCCAAGGCGCTCCCCTTCCTCTCCTATCCTGCACCTCTACTTGGCGATAGAGTGTCGCGGTGTCGCCTCAGTGCCTGGTGTGTCTCTATCATGAGCCTTAGGTCCATATAATATCATGTGAGCCATCTCATATAATTAAGTTAATGAAAAAAGAAAATTTAAGTCTAGGCCCAAACCCATTGTGATTTTTCTTATGTGTGAAGGTATGCCTTTTTAGGTATATCAAGGGTGTACCTAAGAATTTTTCCCACTCTAAGGTACCTCAGGCATGAGAGGCGCTTGTCTCTCACCACTATGTTGTAAATAAGTTCTCTTAGCAAAGCAATGAGATTCATGACTTTACTAGGTTAGATGCTTAGAGAGTAAATACTTGACACTTCAGGGCTCAAATCTTGCTTTGCCTAATAATTCATCAACCCATGAAAGAGAACCCCTTTCTTTCAAGTATGCAGAATTGCAGATAAAATAAAGGGATAACCAAGATACACGAGAACGGATATATAATGCTCTTTTCACTATATGCTTGTGTATTAATTCTTACGATGTTCTTTTATTTATTTAGGAAGAAGCATTTCATTTAGTTAGCAGTATTGTCATTTTAGTTGAGTTGAAGGAGGAAGAAAATGGGTCATAACGCCCAACATTTCAGCAAATATATTCTTCGCCAATCTAGAAGGTGATTGTCCACGCACTTTGAAAGAACTCAAGATAAGTAGAGAGAAGTAATGAAAGAAAATTGCATTTGTATTATGAAATCAGGATCATATTCCATAAAATAATGAAGACGAAGGAAAACCTTTATCAGAATATTTTCAGAATGAGCCTCAATATCTATTGAAGCAAAGTAAATATCAATCCTTAAAATTTAGACCCACTAACACTTTACTTAGTAACTGTTTCTGGAGCATAGGCCACTTACAAATTACTTATTACTTAGTACCTGAAAATCTTTACAATAAACAATTGACCCAGTAAACAAATGGCCCTAACAGAGTCTACTAAATAGTTCGTAAAATATACTTAAACAAAATACTCCGTAAATATTAATAACATAAAATCAAAATAATTCTCTCATCGTGACTCTGCATATTTGGTATACTTCCGAGTAGGGGCAAGGTCTGCGTACACACAACCTCCCCAGACCCTACTGTAGTGGGATCTAACTGGGTTGTTGTTGTTTTTTTTTTCACACTTGTTTTCCTCAGCATCTGTCTACCACTACCCCACGTCGCTCGCAACACTTAAAACCATGCATCAGCATCTTGCCCGAAGATTCCTCCATAAGTCTACATGTCTACTCTAATGCTGATCTTTTTGTACAAGGCTTATGTTTGAATTCTCTAATTTTGAATCCTCCATTTGTCTCTCTCTTCACGTCTACACTAGCACTGATCTTTCTTTACAAATCTTATGTTTGAATTCTCTCATATGTGCATTTGAAAAACATGTAAGTAAAATGGAGGAAAATTCCTATGTAATAAATAAGAGGAAACCAATATGAAAAGAAAAATATCCTTGGGGGAGACCTGAATAAGTATTATTTTGAATATGCTTCCTTGACGTCTTATTTGGTCTTTCAATTTTTGTATATTGTCATCTGTACTACTCATGCAATTCTTTTCATCAGTTTTTTCTCTTTGTGCATGCACTTATTATTCTCTCTTACCCTTAATTGAAAATCAATGTTATTATTATTATTATAGAAACCTGGTGGAATTATTGCTCTGCTCGATGAGGCCTGGTAATATATGTTCAAATTATAGAATTCTCCTTCCATTTCTTATTCAGGTTGTCTACTAGTTTTGCTTGAAGCTTACAAGCCTTGCTTACTCCTTGTAGCATGTTCCCCCAAGGTCAACACATGAGACCTTTGCTGAAAAGCTTTACCAGACCTTCAGAGACAACAAACGCTTCAACAAGCCAAAGCTATCACGGACTGACTTCACTATTGTCCATTATGCTGGTGAGGTATGCATCTCTTATGATGTATTTATTATTGAAACATGTGCTTCTCTTGCTCTAAAAGATTATAACGTTAGCAAGGATACCCTCATTGTTTTTACTTTATCTATCCTCAGTGTGCCTCTTCGTGGGTGGGTGATTTTTCTTGGCGGGCCTAAGACATGAAAACATTTTGTCTAGTGATATTCAACTCTAGGACTATTAACTTGCTTTTTTTGGTATATTAAAGTATGTGTTACACCTGACAAACTGTTAATGAGGATACACATTGGTTTATTTATTTATTGATGGAAGGTTTTGCTTTCTGCATTTTTACAACTAACAATTGTTGTCTCAGGTCACATACCAAACTGAGTTATTCTTGGATAAGAACAAAGACTATGTCATTGCAGAACACCAAGAACTTCTCAGTTCTTCAGGGTGCTCTTTTATCTCAGGCTTGTTCTTACAACAACATGAAGAATCTTCTAAATCATCAAAGTTTTCCTCTATTGGCACTAGATTTAAGGTATGCTTTCACCTTTCTCATTTACAAGTACTAGATTATGCAATTTATTCATTTAATCCAGTTCTTAAAATATACTAGTTTGGCCTGTTCTATTGTTCACCTAAACAAATTTCAACTTCCTTTCATAACTTCATAAATTGATTTAATAATTTTAAGTTACCAACAAATAAGAAAGTAAGAATAATGTGTTTTCATGCTTGACACAAGGTGAAAATACTTCAAAGAGTTTGAGAACGAATCAGTTCATCTTTGATATGTACCGAGCCCCATCTATATCAAAAAACAATGATGTCATCTTGGTGTATAAAATAAATACACCAAGCTTGCTGCAAATGTATTTTATTTTTGGGCCTCTAAGTTATTTTGCTGAGATTTATGAAAGCTGATTATCTGTGATGACAGAGCTAATAAATAGTGGAAGCATGGTGATAACTAAGAAAAATGCATGGTGTCACAATTAAGATTGGAATGCACACCTTTTCATAGACACTAGCAAACTATCATAAATTCATAAGTGTCCCTTTATTCATGGACAAGTCAATTTTTGTGGAACCAAATACATTGTAAGGGAAGCGGTGGGCTCATCTTTTGGAGCCACATTAAGAGTTGGACGATGACAACAATGATAAACTGGTAAAGACAATCACATGTAGGGGGATGGTTTACGGATTGTTTCTTTGGTGATTTCCGGAGAACCAATAGGTTGAGAAGATATAATTTCGAGATTAGGACTAAATTCCGAGGATGTGAATGTGGAGGTGTGTGATAACATTAGGACTACATTTTTACAGCTCTTTAATATCACTCTCCATGCCTATCTTTATAAAAGATGTAATGACCTTGTATATTATACAGCAACAACTGCAATCATTGCTTGAAACACTTAGTGCCACAGAGCCTCATTACATCCGTTGTGTAAAGCCAAATAATCTTCTTAAACCAGCCATCTTTGAGAATCAAAATGTACTTCAGCAACTTCGATGTGGGGTATGCTTCTTTAATTTGCTCTAATGTAAAATGATGTTTACGTTTTGCAACTTGCTCAAAAGGAAGTTATGTTGTTCTAGGGGGTTATGGAGGCAATTAGGATTAGCTGTGCTGGATTNTACGGCTCTTTCATATCACTCTCCATGCCTATCTTTATAAAAGATGTAATGACCTTGTATATTATACAGCAACAACTGCAATCATTGCTTGAAACACTTAGTGCCACAGAGCCTCATTACATCCGTTGTGTAAAGCCAAATAATCTTCTTAAACCAGCCATCTTTGAGAATCAAAATGTACTTCAGCAACTTCGATGTGGGGTATGCTTCTTTAATTTGCTTTAATGTAAAATGATGTTTACATTTTGCAACTTGCTCAAAAGGATGTTATGTTGTTCTAGGGAGTTATGGAGGCAATTAGGATTAGCTGTGCTGGATTTCCCACTCGGAGACAATTTGATGAATTCATTAAACGTTTTTCTGTCCTTTGTCCTGAAGTTCAAAGTAGCAGGTATTTGTGTTAACAACTGTTGAATGAGTTGAGATTTAAATGCTTCAAGGCTTATACCTTATTAAGATTTACTTCTATTTCCACCATCACATATTTTTTTCTTTTCCTAAATATTTAGATATGATGAGGTCATTGCTTCCAAGAAAATTTTAGAGAAGGTTGGCCTCAAAGGTTATCAGGTAATTTGTATTTTTTAAGTAGCTACTCCACTTCCCCCCCTGTGAACAGTATCATTGTGGTTGCCTTTTCCTCTTGGGCACATCTCCAGTGGTTGTTCAGACCATTCGACACCACCAATATAATCAAGCTGCGGCAATTTAAAAGATTTACATCCCAATATCCTTTTTCATAGCAGATCTTGGCCCAAACCTTGCACCAGTGTCACCGTCTCTCATAGACGAACTCATCAGTACTTCTCATATCCTTTTCCAACATTTAACTGTTGATCGTTGACTGGCATAGTGGGATTGGCCTGATTTTTCTAGGATTTTTATTCGGCGTTTCCAGTACTACAGGTATACAGTGAAGGCTTCTCATACATTTTAATGGTTGTTCCAAGTTCCCCCTTTTCTTCAAGGAGTGTGTTATGTTATCATTCTCCTTCACTAAGCCTTTTCTTTTAGTGTTAGAGTGTGCTGTTGTGCTCTTCGTAGGCTCTTTGTTTTCGGTTGGCCCTTGGCATTTTCATCTTCATCCCTAAGGGTCATCCACTCCTATATATAGTTGCTTGTTCCGAAGCCTTCTCGGTACTGTTATAGTGTTATCTTCTCTTATACTTATGGTTGGTAATTTTATGTTAGGTCATTGTTTGTATTACTTCAAGCTTTAGGATTTAGATGCTCAAGCTTGAGGGGGGGGGGGTCGTGGGGTTTGGTCCGTAGGAAACCATATATGGTAACCATAGTGTGCCACTATAAAGCCCATCTTTACTCGTATATTAGGATGTGTATCTTTCTCTTGTTGTATTGATTATATTCCATTACATTTCTTATATATTTAATAGATTGTGTTAACTCCTATATTTACTCTTAAAGAAAAATTACTCTTTGGAGTATTGTGTAAAACAATTAACAAAATAAAGACAAACAACTCTAGTAACTGGTGGATTGTTTGGGCAGCAACACTGTAATGTATATTAGAACACAAAGCTTGCTGCAAGTTCTGTTAATTTCTTCGTGCAGATTGGCAAAACCAAAGTGTTTCTTAGAGCTGGTCAGATGGCTGAATTAGATGCACAGCGTAATGAGGTCCTAGGAAGATCTGCATGTACTATACAGAGGAAAGTGCGCTCATTTTTTGCCCGAAAATCTTTTCTTTTGTTACAAGATTCGGCAATTAGAATCCAATCTATATGCAGAGGTCTGGCTGACCTATATCTCAATATTGATTTACTAGTGATAACTAAATTAGTCTAGAAGTTCTTTTAACCTGATCATTATCTGAACACAGGTCAGCTTGCACGCGACTTCTATGAATGGAAGAGGAGAGATATGGCTTCTTTGATGATTGGAAAATTTGGACGNCGAAAATCTTTTCTTTTGTTACAAGATTCGGCAATTAGAATCCAATCTATATGCAGAGGTCTGGCTGACCTATATCTCAATATTGATTTACTAGTGATAACTAAATTAGTCTAGAAGTTCTTTTAACCTGATCATTATCTGAACACAGGTCAGCTTGCACGCGACTTCTATGAATGGAAGAGGAGAGATATGGCTTCTTTGATGATTGGAAAATTTGGACGTATGTTCCTCGCAAAGAAAACTTACAAGTTGCTTTGCATTTCTGTTATTTCCATCCAGACAGGACTACAAGGGATGGCGGCTTGTAATGAGCTTAGTTATAGAAGAAAAGAAAAAGCAGCCATCACTATCCAGGTAAAAGGGTTCTAGAAATTTTTGTTTTGTATTTGTTACATGAAGTTACCAAGCACTACCTCTGTCTCAAAAAAGTGTTCACTTTGACCAAGGTACACCTTTAAAGTCTTATAAGGTAGAACTCATATTACTAATTAATCCTGTCGAATTGTTTATTATGATTGTCTAGGTTTCATGTACTGATTGTCTAGGTTCCATGTACTATTTGTCTGAGTTTCCATGTACTGATATTTCCAATACTGGCTGTCCAGGTTCCAATGTACTGATAGTATATGTTTTTTCTATTGATAGCTCCTATTCACCTCAGTTGTCTTTCCAAAAGTTTTGATACATCTCAGTTAGGTGAAGAAACTCCTTCCTTTCAACATGTTATGGGAGCCTCTTTTTGGGGCCTCATTTATTTCTCACTTTATGAGAATGAACAATGGGAACAATGCCGAAAGTGAAACTGTTCCTTTCTTTCATGTTTTTTGAATTAAAGTAGTATATTACTTCTCTCACAAAATAATGAAAATATATTGGTTATGTACATGCAGATTTGGTAGAGTTTTCTCTACAGGAGTATAGGTATCAGTTACACCAAGTTTCCATCTTTGTGTAGACTTATTTAGTCTAATCTCAGCATTGATTTCAGAGTCATTTTTGTGGATTCGTGGCTCGCATTCATTACAAGAGAATGAAGAAAGCAGCGGTTACCACCCAGTGTGCATGGAGGGTAAGAGTTGCTCGCAGAGAACTGCGCAAACTTAAAATGGTGAGATCTTGTATTCTCGTTTTCTTTAAAGAAGAAACCCGAGCACATTTGTTTGCAGGAATGCTATTGGAAATTGTTCCCTTAACTTTAACCCAATGGTAACACACAGTAGTTATTCCAGTTTTTAAGTATGGAATGACCGTAGAATCAAGATTTTTGTTTCAATGTTAATGTTGTGACTTGTGAGGATTGCTTTCTCGTCCAACGTATGTTTGCTAGAGCATTGCATTGATAGATCAGACTAAAGCGGTTCCTACATGTCTTTTGCATCGTTGACTTGTGGATGCAATGCTTTAAAAATATGTTGTGAATTATATTTGGGAGGATCAGTTAACGTGACTACTTATCCAAGATGCGAGTGATTGTGTCAAGATAGAGAAGTTAGATGATCATTTTTCCTTTCTCAAATACTTAAATGAACTGTATTAATCTTTGTTTTAAAAAAAAGTTTACTTTCTTAAGTAATTGAATCTATCCTGCATCATGAGTTTCCAAGCAAGGGAATTTAAGCTGCATATACCTATGATTGGGGTAAAATTGCCACACTATCTTTGGAGTTTGGCCATAGAGTGATGAATCTGGAAGTTGATAGGGGATGATATCCTCAAGTTTTAGCCAAGATTATAACTAACATTTAAGGAAATCCATACTTTAATGCATATTCTGGATTTCTGGTTCAAGTATTTGAACTAACACGAACAATTGAGGCAATAAAGCTTTTCCCACTAAAAGTAGAAATCCTTATGAATCTTTTCCTTCTTGATTTGAACTTATGTATGATTGGTGCAAGCCTGAATTTCATCGTGTGTTGAATGCCATGTTTTTGCCTCAGGCTGCAAAAGAAGCAGCTGCTTTGCAAGCCACCAATAGTATTCTGGAAAAGCAAGTTGAAGAACTCTCTTCACAATTGGAGCTAGAAAAGCGCATGAGGGTAAATATGTGTATTTGAAATTTATTTTATTGTATATTTATTTATTTAATTCTCTGGGGGTGTTATCTGGCCACATAAAGTGTGGAGGGGAATTATAGGAAAGTCAACACCATTTTTATATCACATTAAATATTCGTGTCCACTCAAACTGGGCAGTTAATAAGTATTGATCTACTTGCTTCTTTTTGTAATGCCTTCTAATTAATTGAGATAGAGGAGAATTATAATCCTATGCTATGCCCATCGCAATGGAGCTAAAAGAGTCATTCTTACAATGGTTTAGCTTGGGGTAAATAATGGATTAAATCAAAATATCACATTGAACTTCCTTTGCTTCTTACTTTGTATAATGTTTTGGGTAGGAAAGGCATCAAGGGTCTAGCGTAAACAGCCTCTCTGCTTTTTGCAGCCGTAAGGTTGCATACATCTTTGACCCCCCCGACCCCACCCCCAACGTGATTTGGATTATGATGGGGTTGTTGTTGTGCAAATTCTAAGCCATTTGTTCTTCATGGCACAAATGTTGGGCAGTAAAGAACCAGAATATCTGTAAATAGCTGCAATCATGATACGTATGCTATTATATATGCGTAGTTGTGTACAAATTCATAATATTTAATTAAAAAATGGACAAGTGGTGCCACTTGCTAATAGAGGAAACAAACTTTGATAGATTTAGACATGTTTGTCAATGCCTCCAGATGTTAAGGTTAAAACGTGTAACTGTTGTGATTGATTTCACATATCTATGTTGCTAGCCTAACTAGGTTGTGATTAAAGCTTAGTGAGCTTGTTTATTATTGTGGCAACAATTTGGAATATGAGTTGCAAATTGGACTTCTGACAGGCTGGTATAGAGGAAGCCAAGACTGAAGAAATTATGAAGCTACAGTCTGCTTTGGAAGAAATTAAACTTCAGCTTCAAGAGACCAAAGATTTGCTAATGAGAGAGCACGAGAAAGTAAAGGAGGCGGCTAGGATAGAAGAAGCACAAACTGAAGAACTTGTGAAGCTACAGTCTACTTTAGAAGAAATCCAATTTCAGTTTAAAGAGGCGAATGAAATGCTCATGAGGGAACGAGAGAAAGCAAATGAAAATGCTGAATTAGTGGAAGCCAAAACTGAAGAGCTTGTAAAGCTACAGTCAGATTTGGAAGAAATGCGACTTCAATTTCAAGAGACTAAAGAGTTGCTCATGAGAGAACAACGGAAAGCAAAAGAGACTGCTGGAATAGGAGAAGCCAAAACTGAAGAGCATGTAAAGCTACAGTCTGATTTGGAAGAAATGCGACTTCAACTTCAAGAGACTAAAGAGTTGCTCATGAGGGAACAACGGAAAGCAAAAGAGACTGCTGAAACAGGAGAATCCAAAACAGAAGAGAATGTAAAGCTACGGTCTGCTTTGGAAGAAATGCGGCTTCAGCTGCGAGAGACTAAAGATTTGCTTGTGAGGGAACAAGATCGCACAAAGGAGACAACTGAGATAGAGGAATCCAAAACTGAAGAACAATTAAAGCTACAGTTTACTTTGGAAGAAACCCGACTTCAGCTTCAAGAGACTAAAGAATTGCTCATGAGGGAACAAGAGAAAGCAAAGGAGATTGAAGACATGGAGCAGGCCAAAACTGAAGAAAATGTGAGACTGCGGGCTGCTTTGGAAGAAATGCGACTTCAGTTTCAAGAGACTAAAGAATTACTCATGAAAGAATGTGAGAAAGGAAAAGATAGCACTGCAGGGGCATTTGTTGTACAGGAGGCTCAGGTCATTGATCATGAAATGGTCAATAATCTCGTCACTGAAAATGAGATACTTAAGGTAAATTGTTGGTGACTTGCTGCTATGTTTTAAATCTTTGGTAGAGAAACTGGCTTTAAGCTCTATTATACAAACTCAAATATATACCACCACGGCATTAAGGTGTATCTACCACGTATTCTGACAATTGTTTCTTCTGTCTAGTTAGTCCCAATTCAAATGTTTGATTCTGGATATCATTTATAGGCTTCAAAAGAAGCCAAAAACAAGGAAAATGCCAGACTACAGTCTGCTCTGGAAGAAATGAACCTTCAGCTCCAAGAGACTAGATCTTTGCTCAGGATTGAACATGAGACTGCAAACAGGACTACCAAGAACAAGTGTTTGGTACAAGATCTCCATGTTATTAATCAAGAAAAAGTCAATGATTTTACTGCTGCAGAGTGGCCTGTGGCGCCCGATGTCCAGGTTATTCAGCAAGTAAAGGTCAATGAGCTCACTTCTGAAAATGAGTTTCCTAAGGCATGTTTTGTGTTTTCATATGTTTTAATTCTTGGATATGTATTTTTTCTCGTAAACTCCTCCATTATACGGACCTGAATAGTTATCTAGAAGACATAAAGTATCTTCCATCACCCACCCTCACGGCCTCACCCCTCCCCCAAGCTTGTTGCGGATTTTCCATTTTCACACATACTTATGGATGCCTCTCATTATGGGCTGTCCAGGATGAAGCCAAAACCCAGGAAAATGTAAAATTACAACCTGCTCTAGAAGGGGTGGAGCTTCAGGTCCAAGAGACTAATCAACTGCTCCTGACGGCGCATACACCCGTGGAAAGGATTGATGACCATGTGTACACTGCACATGAGACACCGAAGATTTCTATGGAGCAGGTGCCTGCTGCACAAGACATCAAGTTCATTGATCATGAAATTGTCAATAAGCTTACGGCTGAAAATTTGCAACTTAAGGTATGTTATGAGTTTATCATGTATGGTATGCCAATATGTTTCAAGATACTGAATGTCTATATTGCTTCTATGTTTTTTTTGTTCTCTCTTTTGACTATGTAAATAATATGCTGGTCCTCTTGAAGGCCTCAGTTAGCTCATTGGAGAAGAAAATCGAAGAAACAGAGAAGAAATACGAGGAAACAACCAAACTTAGTGAGGAGCGGTTGAAGCAAGCCATGGATGCAAAGTCCAAAATGATCGAGTTAAAGACGGACATGCAAAGGTTGGTGAAATGAACTTTTACCATTATGCATCCATGAGACACATATCAGCCTAATTTCAATATTTTCACCTTTTTTATTTTTTATTATACACTTCTTTGAAACCCAAATTTATTTTTGTTTTAAAAATACTTTCATGTATTGCACTTTTCAGCATTAGAACTGCCATATGTTTTGTTCGTTTTTGTGCATTCGGAATTGTTCATGAATGTTTCATGATTATCATATGAGATTGGTATAGCTTGAGCATTGTACATATTTTTGTTGTTACTACTCCATGTTATGTATTTATTGCTGTTTATGTTTGCATCTCATGCCAAGATCAAGGAGAAATTGTCTGATTTAGAAACTGAGGACCATATTCATCAAAAACAGACATTATTGAATTCACAATCTAAAAGAATGTCAGGACGTTTTACTCTAGGCAATCAGGTCATGACACCGCAAACAAAAAAATTCTTGTATTTTGTTTGTTCTTGGTAATTTTTTACTGATCTTTTATTTTATATTGCAGCCTTCAGAGAATGGCCATCAGGTAAGTAAAAGGCATGTAACTTCCCCCTGTGCTCTGTGCCACGGTTTGTGTAGTAGATGCACTATGCTGCTGTTCATTAATGTGTGCTCGTAGTTTATGCAGGACTCACAAGCAGCAAAAACGTTAAAACCATTTGGCACGTTATCATTGAGAAGATCCCAAATTGATAGACAACGAGTAAGCTCACAGTTTAACATGAATTGTCTCTGAGCAGAGACAGGTCTCTTAGCCTTTGTTGGGTTGGAGGGGTTTTGAGGAAAGTAAGGGAGTGTTGTGTCTTTGGTTGGGGAATCGGGGTGGTGGTGAGTTTGGGGGAGTTGAAGACCTATAGACTCCTCCAATCTCATACCTCTCAATTTTTGCTATTTCAGAAGAGTTATATTTTCTTAAATTTTTTTCACCTTTTCGAACCAAAATTTTGTTGTTGTTTTTGTTGTTAAATCAAATTTTTTACACTGTTATTGTTATTCATATTGAATACTTAGTTATTACAAGCTTGCAACACAAATTATGTCAAGTATAATACTTTTTATATATTTATATAAAATAATAAAATTTCCATTGAACCAACCATAACATCTTTTTGAAGTTCTCAATTTTCATCCTTTCCCTTCAAATCAAACACAGGGTAAATTCTTTTTTTAAGAGGAAAGAAATCAGCTTTCAGAATATGAATTAAATGTAAAATTGATGTAAACTGATTTTGTCATTTTATTTTATTTATTCTGTAGGAGAGTGTGGATATTCTTTTCAAATGTATTAAAGAAGATCTCGGTTTCAGCGAAGGAAAACCAGTTGCGGCATTTACAATATACAAATGCCTTATTCACTGGAAATCCTTTGAGGTGGAGAGAACTAATGTATTTGATCGCCTTATTCAGGTTATTGGTTCTGCTATAGAGGTAACTTTCATGTCTAAAATTTATAAGTAATCTGCCTCTGCTAGAATATTACTAGTGCTTGTGAGTTGTGACTTCTATACTCTTTTTCATTGAAATTTAAAATAGGAGTATGCAAAAAGAATGAAGTGTGCTTTTTTTAGATTGTTTTTTTGTGGGTCTAACTCTGCAAGAAATGGCTACTCTTTTCCTTCATTTCTCTTACCATTTTCTTATCCATCACTTCAGCAGAACTTTTTAGTATGTATTTTTTCCTTTTGATAGAAGAATTGAATTATATTTATTTAAACGGAAAGATTAGAAAATTTCATCTACGTTAAAGTGGGGAAACAGGATTCTCAAATAATGAAGTCAAGCATATTGTGCAAAATTTCTTCTGCATTGGGTAATTATCCATCTTTAGAATAGCTCATGGCACATGCAGTGTCATTGCTCTCTCATAAATCTTAGCAGATGCGGATTGATAAACCCTAATCTTTCTGAAGGTCCAATTATTTCTACTCATTGAGCTTTTCTGATACACTTAGGCTGTATTTGAATCCCTTAAATCCTAGGAAAAAGAAACAAAATTACCAATGAATATTGCTTTTTTACTAAGTGTGTGTTAGTATTGTGATTTTGTTGTTATTTTCACATGTTTTGTGGAGTGACTCTGCAGGTAGTGTATGTTCCTATTATTTTTGGGGGTTTGGGGGGGGGGGGGG